TTTCTCCCTCCTCTGTTTCAGTGCAGTATACATTATTGAACCCATCTTACTCAGTCTCTCCCCAACCCCAAGATCATTCCCGTTCTACAACAGTGACACCATGCAATATTTGTCCTCTTTCACTTTCTGTATATGGGGGACTGTTTCTCTGCTCAGTCTGACAAGAAGTCTGAGACCTTGTAGAATTGCAGCGGTTCTCACTTCCTTCCATTATCTGTAGAACCAGGACCTCTTTTCCCCGTGACTCCTCTCAGGAATCTTCCTGGATGAAGTGCTCCCTCCTCACTGTCGACACAAAGGCAGCTGAGTAAGATGAGCAATATCCTGTCACGTGCTTTACAGGCCCTAAAAACCCACTAGAGAATCAGATAGGAGTTGGTATCAACTTGATGGTAGGAAACAATATGCAACAAAAGCAAAGATTTTCTAGAACTAATTTAGAAGCCATAATTAAGTAATCCCTAGAGATACGAAGAAAGCATAGATGGCATGATAATGATAGTAGCATATGGGTCAAGTAGTCAACTGAAGTGTCTACCATCCAATGAGGCTGACAAATGTTTTAAGCTAGAATGCTCCACTGTGTAATAGTCAAACACAAGGAGAAACAGGTGGAGTTTAAGGAGTATTTCAAGAAAAAGATCAGAGAAGAGGGTATCAGGACTGGAACTTTAAAGAAGGGCTAAAATTTGATGAATTTATGTGCAAGAGAAGCATTCTAAGGAGATGTAACAGTATAAGTAAATGTCTAGATGTGTCACTGACTATTACAGCTTACCTTGTTTCATAAGAACTCAGACTAGTAAGTACCTCATGAGCTCTTTAGAAGAATACAATAATTACAAAACATTCAGGAAGATATTTGGCACATAGCAAGTACTGATTAAACAGTAGCTGCCTTTTATTATCTCAGTCTTCACTGCAAGTCTACAAAATTGAAATGCATTGGGCCTGCCTTGGACCTTAATATTATGATGCTATGAATTTCTGCCAACATTCTCCTTTTCAATACATCTTACTTAACTGCTTGTAGGACAAAGCACAAGGCTTATCTGTTTAGATTCCCATATCCAAGAAAAATATCTTGAACTCACATTGTTGAAAGACTTAACAGTTCAGAACATAAGAGAAGGAAGTTTTAAATAAGACCTTTTATATTGTGCAGCAGGATAGGACAGGGTTGAGTTCTGTTGTTCAGGTCTGTACTCAACTTAGTGGCACCTAACAACAACAACAACATATCACATGGAGAGCTCTCGTTGGCCAGTGGGTAAGGAGTTGTGCTGTTAAACCAAAGTAAGAGGTTTTGGTCCACCAGATGTTCCACAGATGAAGGGCAGTCTCCTCTCTTGTGATTCGCAGCCTCTGAAAATGGGCTAGAGGATCAGTTATGAATCAGTTTTGACTTAACAGCAACAGAGAGATGATACAGAGGGAGCTCTGAATGCCCAGTCTATTGGAAGTTGGCCATTTGAATCCATCACCAGGCTCTGAGGGAGAAAGACGGGCAACTTGCAGTATGATTTAAAGCCTTGTTAACACAACAGAGGATCAGCTATCGGTTCCCACTAGGCAGCAGTGAGTTTGAGTTTTTTAGTTTATAGATTGCAGAATCCATTGGATCTGTTGGTCTATCAAAAGAAACATCACATAAAGTAGAAATTGTTGAAGTGGTGTTTGTTCTACTGTGTATATTCTCAAAAGCAATAATGAATACAATTTTGAAAAAAGTATTACAATCAAGACAAATAGACATTATTCTGGTATTCCTTAATTTCAGCCAAGATCCATCTGACATCAGCAGTGATGTCCCTGGTGCCACCGCCTCGACTAAATCCCACCTGAACTTCTGGCAATTCCCTATCTAAGTACTGCTCCAGCCGTTTTTGAATGATCTTCAGTAGTATTCTGCTAGCATGTGATATTGTTTATTTCCCCACTCAATTGGATCACCTTTCTTGGGCATAGGAACAAATATAGACTTCTTCCAATCTTTTCGCCAGACAGCTATCCTCCAAATTTTCTTGGCAGAGACTGGTGAATGTATCCAAGGCTGCATCTGTTAATTGAACAAGTCCTTTGGTATTCCATCCATTCTTGGGACCTTATTTTTTACCAATAATGTCAAGGCAACTTTCACATCCTCTTTCATTATCATTGTCTCCTGTTCATATGGTATTTCCTGAAACTTTTCAGTGTCAATCAATTCTTTCTGGTACAGTGACTCTGTGTATTCCCTCCATCTTCTTTTGATGCTTTCTTGGTCATTCAATACATCGCCCATAACATCTTTCAACATTGCAACACGAGGCCCAACTTTGTTTTTCAGTTCCTTCAGCTTGAGAAATACAGAGCAAGTTCTTCCCTTTTTATTCTCCATTTCCAGCTTTCTGTACATTCTGTTATAATACTTTGCTTTGTCCTCCCGAGCTGCCCTTTTAAACGATCCTTTCAGCTCTTTTACTTTGACATGTTTTCCTTTAGATTTGGCTTCCTGTCATTCCAGTGCAATCTTTAGCATCTCTTCTGACATCCATTTCAGGTTTTTTTTTCTTTCTCCTCCGTTTTTGTAATGATTTTTTTATCATTCTTTTTAAAGAATGTCTGTTTGTGCTTTATTGACTATACAAAGGCATTTGGTTATGTGGATCATGACAAATTGGGGCCGATATTGAGAAGAATGGTAATCCCATAGCACTTGATTGTGCTCATGAGGAACCTATACCTATAATAGGAGGCTGTTGTGTGAACAGAGCAGTGGAGCACTGCATGGTTTGGAATTGGGAAGAGAGTGCAACAGGGATGCATTGTGTCTCCATACCTATTCAATCTATATACTGAGGAAATTATCCAAGAAGCTGGACTCTATGAAGAGGAGTGTGGCATTAGGACTGGAGGAAAACTTATCAATAACCTGTGTTGTGCAAATGACACAGCCTTGCTTGCTGAAAGTGAGGAAGACTTGAAGCACTTGTTGCAGAAGATTAAAGAATGCAGCCTTCAATATGAATTGCATCTTACTATCAAGAAAACAAAGATTCTTACCACTGGATCAATGGACAGTGTCTTGATGGATGGAGAGAAGACTGAAACCGTCAACAGTTTCATCTTACTTGGATCCACATTTAAAACTCTAGGTATTCCCAGTCAGGAAATAAGAATATGCATTGCAATGGGAAAATCTGCAGGTAGAGAGAGACCTTTCCAAATTATTGAATAGTAGTGATGTCAATTTGAGGACTAAGGTGCATCTGATCCTAGCCATGGTCTTTGTGATTACTAGCTATGCATCGGAAACCTGGACAATGAATAAGGATGACAGAAAAAGACTTGATTCTTTTGAGCTGTGGTGTTGGAGAAAAGCACTGAATATTCCATGGACTTGCAAGAAAATGAATCTTGGAGAGGGTACAGATGGAGTGCTCTTTGGAGGCAAGAATGATGAGACTTTGCCTCACATAGTTTGGACCTATTGCTAGGAGGTGCTATTCCTTGAAGAGGGACATGATGTTGGGAAGGGTGGAGAGTCGGTGAAGGAGAAGAAGATCCTCAACCAGGTGGATTGACAAGGTGACTGTTGCAATGGACTCTTGTGTGTCAGGAAGTGTGAGGATGGCGCAGGACAGGGCTGGTTTCAGATCTTTTGTTCATAGGGTTGCTATGAGTCATACTTGACTTGATGTCAAGTAACAACAGCATTACAGTCAAGAAAACTTTATGGAGCAGTTCTCTGTCACACAGGGTCATTATGAATCAGAATAGACTCCTTTGTGTTCAACAATAACAAGAGCTTTAGATAAACCATAACTAAATAAATTTCATAATAATAATTTAAATAAATTTCTGTCTCCTCCAAATAACACAGGTCAATAACACACAGAATTTTCATAAAACATATGTAGAAAAGATTTCTGAGAGGAAAATGTGATTTTTCCCAAGAGGATTTTGCTGTCAAAAAAAGAATTCATGAGAACTCTTGTCTTGAGAGAGAGTCATTATAATGAACTAGAACCTTTGGAGTCTACAGCTGTCTCTCCAATCTTATGGAAAGATTCAAAACCAGCCTTCCACATTGTATGCAACTAACTGCATTCCCTGATAATAGCATTCCCTGATAACAGATTAACAGAAAAAGAAGGTTGTGTCATTTAGAAAGCTCCGTTCAACATATTATCATATGATCATACATAAATGGAGAAAAAACTAAATATGTAATAAAATACCATTGAATAGTCCCAGGAAGGAACTTGGAATCTGTATCACATGGCTTAACAAGATTCAATGAATCATAACACTGAGGTCAGGAAAATACGCCTTTCATGGAGCCTGATAAACATAATTATCCTTTTAAGAATATTAATGAGGAAGAACAACAAGGAAAGAATGTTTCTCATGGTAACATGGACAGCCCCTAACTAATTAGCTAATCAGTTACTCTGAAGAGTATAAAAGTGAGAAAAGGGCAGGAGACTTTCACATTCAAGAACTCTGCTCTCCTGAAAATATCCAGAACCTCCACCCTCTGATACAATGTGCAATTCCTGTTGTGGCTCTGTCTGCTCTGACCAGGGCTGTGGTCAACGCCAGATCTCCTGCTGCAGGACCACCTGCTGCCGCCCCAGCTGCTGCCGTCCCAGCTGCTGTGTGTCCAGCTGCTGCAGGCCTCAGTGCTGCCAGTCTGTGTGCTGCCAGCCCACCTGCTGCCGCCCCAGCTGCTGCAGGCCCCAGTGCTGCCAGTCCAGCTGCTGCCATCCCAGCTGTTGCATCTCCAGCTGCTGCCGTCCTTCCTGCTGTGGCTCCAGCTGCTGCCGCCCCACCTGCTGCTTCCGCCCAGTGTGTGGCCAAGTCTCCTGCCACACCACCTGCTACCGCCCAACCTGTGTCATCTCCACCTGCCCCCGCCCCACCTGCTGCGCCTCCTTGTGCTGCTGAGTTCTTTCTCCTAGATCCATCTTTCCCCCCATCTCCTCCCCAAAGATGGAGACCCTCCTGTTGTACTGAGTGTTAGGACACGTGGAGTGGGGGTGGTGTTGCTCCATGAGTTGCACCCCAAGACTATAATGAGCCAGTCACAGATTATTGACTCTGTAAATGCGCCCAAGTATCAGTCTAAATACTCCTGTGGACCACTCCCTTACATTCAAGATTTTATTTACTTATGGAAAACCAACTAGTGAATTCACAAATTCTCCTTTTTAGGTTTTTTAGCAACAGGTCTTCAAGAAACTGAAAATTATCTTAATTACTTCTACACAGCTAAGTTTTAAAATCTTTTTTTATCATCTTGCTAAATTGATCTTTTCTAATTCCTGCTCCCTATATTTCCCTGATCCTCAAATATGTCATCTCTACAACTCAAAATAAATCACCTTTTTTCTATATAAAAATCAAGTGTGGTGTGCTCTTTTAAAATATTTTATATTCAGTCTGGATAATTGTATTTTATTTAACTTACAGGATAGACACTAAAGCTTAGTAAAACTGACAATAAAATTACATTGTTATGGCCTCATTTTCACCAGCAGTCTCTAGTTCTTAACAAAACTGAAATCAGGATTGCATGATCAAAATGCAGAGGAGGAGGACCCCTCTTAACACTGAGCAGTTTAAGTTCTATGGACCAACATTCTTCCAATATATCTGTCAAAATTAATTATAAAGAGAATAGAATTGGATGTTAGAAGCTAGTGATATTGGAGAGCCATATTTAAAGGCTGCTGCTGCTAAGTCAGAATTAAAGTACAGATTTGAAAGTTATAATGTTTCAATGGCAAAAGATAAGTAGGCTCTTGTCTCCTGCACCCACAGGACAGAGAAGCTGAGGACGGCTCTTAAGAATTACTAGAAGCATGGTGGTTTATTCACACACCCTAATCAGTTCTGTTTTACCAAGATGAGACAAGCCTAATTGGGAAATGATAGGATGCTGAGCTAGGGATTGGGAACATTTAAAGATCTTCAATTCCCAGTTTGCAGAAGTGTCTCAAACCTTCCCATAAATGCACTGGGCCGTATCTTTTTCTTAGAGATGAGGCAGAAGCATCTGTCTTAAAAGACAAGGCAGAGTCCCTTTAGCATCTCCTCCTCTTCTTTACCGCAGGCCAGTAATTAAGAGCTAAGATGCAACACAACACAACCCATGTGTACAAAATGCCGACACATGCAAATGGGAGATGCTAATCCCACGTGTCTTCGGAACTAAAAAAACCTACTTCTTTTTTATTTCTTTTATTGGCATCATTGAGAATATACAACCCAAAAACCACACACCAATTCAACAGTTTCTTCAGGTGTAATTCAGTGTCACTGGCCATATTCTTGGAGCTCCTCAATCATTCTTACTCTCCTTTCAGAAGCTGTTTCTCCTGCATAACATAAACTCACTGCCCCCTAAACTTCCCATCTAATTTTTTTGAGCTGTTGTAAATTATATCCCATGTAATAGACATTTTGAAACAATGTAATACACAAGGCTTTCTTTAGGAATTAACTGTTGCTCAGTTTTAAGAAGACATGGGGGAAAGTTTCAGATTAGGGTGTACAGATTATTTGGGAGCAAGTTTCAGGGTTTCATTCAGCCTCCATAGCTCCATAAATTATGAAGGACACGAGTGTTTGAAATTCTGTTCTTCACTTACCTCCTTTTGCTAAAGATTACTTTATAGGTAGTGATACATGTGAGCTTTCTTCAGAAAGCACATATTTTCTGGTTAATAGCTCTTGGGGATCATCTTATTGATGATCATATAGGTCATATAACAGGTGTCTATTTAATTCTGTAAGAAACTGACAACTGTATCAGAGAGCATCCGTATTGTCTTACATTTTCAACTTGTATCAGAGTTTCCATGACTTTCCATTATCACCAGTTCTTGATATGGTCAATCATTTTTGCCGTTCTAGAGCATGGAAACAAGCAGTCCTTGAAATGCTTACTGACAAAGACCAAAGACTACAGTTTACAGAATGGATTGCACCTCAACAGATTCAAACTTAGCAATGACGGCAAACTTGGCACAGGGGCAGGAAGGGCTTTGTTTTGTTGTGCATGGGATCGCTATGAGTTGGAATCAACTTAATGGCACCTAATAACAAGAGAATGTATAACGTCATCCAATTTTGTTTTTCATTTTCATTTTCATAATTGCAAACCATATGGAAATGAGTCATGGTGGTTCACTGGTCTGTGTAGTGCTGCTAGTCAACAGATCAACTGTTCAAATCCACCGGCCACTCTGTGGGAGAAAGATAGGACATTTCTTCCCATATTTGCAGTCTTGGACACCCAATAGAAAGTCACTATGGGTTTATATGTAAAGCCTTTGTCAAATACATGCTCTTTATACATTTTCAACAAATCAATGGCTTACCATTTTATTCCCCAAACATTTTTTTTAAAAAATCATTATTGGAGTGTAAATGTACAAAGTACATTGTTTTGATTCAATCATTTATACAGTTTGCTTTATAGTGCACAGAGGAACTTGATCTTTACAAGGTCTCACTCATAGATTTTATCCTCTCCTGGTGTGTATTTCTGGCTATATTTGCAGGCCTGTGTACACCATAGGCTAGGGCTTCTAAGTTTGGTCCCATTTTGTCTCTTATTTTTATGTTTTGAGGTTTTACTCCTAGATCTCTGACCCACCTTGAGTTAGTATTTGTGTATGGTGTGAGGTGTGGATCCTGTTTCCGTTTTCTGGAGGTAGATCTCCAGTTTTACCAGCATCATTTGTTGAAGAGATTTGTTGTTTCCCCATTTGATAGGTTTTGTTTTCTTATCTAATACTAATTGACTGTAGATGGATTGCTTTCTGGGTTCTCAGCTGTAATTCCATTGGTCTATGGGTCTGTCATTGAATCAATACCATGCACTTTTGGTTACTAAGACTGTGTAGTAGGTTTTGAGATCAGGAAGTGCTATGTCTCTCACTTCATTTTTATTTTTCAGAAGAGCTTTGCTTATTTGGAGTTTTTTCCTTTTCCAAATAAACCTACCAATTGACTGTTCTATCTCTTTGAAGAGTGAATTTGGTATCTGTAGTTGGATTGTGTTGCACATGGAGATTGCTTTTGGTAGGACTGTAATTTTCACAGTGTTGAGTCTTCTTACCCATGAACAGGGTACAGGGTCTCTTACTGTTTCTTGTAGTTTATAAAGGTTTTTTGTATTCCTAGTTTTTTCCGAGTTAATTTTATCGCTAATCATTTCAATTTGTGGTTGGTTATTCTAAACAGATGGCACATTAACAAAAACAACAACCATATTCTGAATGGTATTCTTTTCTTAGTTTCCTTTTCTATGCTTTCTTTGTTGCTGTAGAGAAGTCCCACTAATTTTTTTTTAATTTTTTTTTTTTAGTATTTATCTTGTACCCTGCCATTCTACTAAATTTGTCTACTAGTCTAACAGGTTTTTTGTTGAGTTTGGTATTTTCTGTACACACTATCATATCTTCTGACTATAGTCATAGTTTTACCACCTCTTTGGCTAAAAATTTAGATGCCTCTTATTTCCTTCTCTTGTTTTATTGCCCTAGCAAGTACCTCTAATACAATATAATACAATATTGAATAGGAGTGCTGATTGTGGTTATCCTTCCTTGGTTCCTATGCACAAGGGGAATGCTTTAGTGTTTCTCCATTGAGAATCATGTTGGTTCTTCGTTTTGTGTATATGCTTTTCCACAATAGGCTTATACTATATTTGTCTTTTTATGACTAGTTTGTTTGACTTCTCATAATGTTCTCTAAATTTATTCATTTGATCATGGTTTCACAATTTTTTATCATATTTAATGGTTGTATAGTACTCTGTTATATGACTGTATCATAGTAACTTTATCCATTAGTCCACTGATGGACTCTTGGGGTGTTACCATTTCTTTGTCATCGTGAATAATGCTGTAATGAACAAAGGTGTGTATATATCTATTCATTTGTCAGCTCTTATTTCTTTAGAATATAGACCTACAGGTAGAATTGCTGGATAAAATACCGTTTCATCTTAAACAATATTTTTTTAAAATTGTGTTTCATTCATGTACATTGTGGGGACTTTTATCACACCCTCGTTCCACCCACCATACTCTGCGACCCTGTAATTTCCCCCATCTCCCCATCCTCAGCTTCCCTGCCTCCTCCTCTTTTATGTTTGGATATCTGTACACATCTTACTGGCTATCCTGTTTTTATAATAATGGTCTTATATAGAGTGCTTGTTCTTATGAGCCTGGGTTAATTCATTCAACATAATTTTTGAAGAGTAAAAATTTTACAGTTGGTGGGATCCAGTGAACTGCTGGTGTGGAAAAAATGAAGTTAATTAATAGTTGTATTCTTTCAACATTTCAAATTTTATTAGGAAGAAATCGAATAACTTTTCGTCTAGGATGAAAGTGTGTCCCACTCCTGAGGCAATCCTCTTTTGAGCCTTTTTGCCAGTGACCTGTGTGTTACAAAGGTTTTGTTGTGTGTGTGTGTTGGGGCGGGAGTTTCCTTAACTCGAGTGTGTAGGAACATGAACTACTTCTGACCCTGTATGAGCTCTGAAGGGTGTTCTCTATTCTATTTATTGAGGTGCTAGGGTGTTTCTCCCTGTGCTTGAATAGTTTCTTTACATGTTTGTACCAGTTGGTACTCAGATCAAGAGGTGATGGTGAGTCTTCCACAGATTTCAAAGGCTCTTGTGCAACCTTGCCTCCTCTGATTTTGGGGCATATAAATTTACAGCCGCCTACACCTCTCCTACTCCCAAGTCCCTTTCTTCAAGTTAGATAGATTACAGATTCTTCAAGCAATAAACTGAGGGTATCCTAGAGATCATCTCATTTCTTACCATTTTCTAAGACATGAGTGCCCTGTCTTACATGGCGGTCAATTTCTAAGTACTTATTCCATCTATTTGGGGGGTTGTTTCAGATAGAAAGATA